GAACGTGCGTCCCCACTGTTTCCTTTCTTCTCTTTGCTGGAATCAGAGACGAGCCGTTATTTTACCCACCATAGATAACATTATCCAATTGTGCAGTCTAAAGATTGCTGACACTTTGAATTTTATAGCAATTGGTTTCTGCGGCAAGCACACCTATTTGTGGTACATTTATTTGCGGCAAAGATCTTATTTTCACTTTACCGAGTGCCTAGTAGGTAATGTGCGGATTACCTAGATACTCTGCACATTATCTAGGTAATCTGAGAAATGGAACAATTTTCACAACTTTAACGGATCACGCTAGTTAATCTGCAGATTAGCTAGGTAATCTGCAGATTAACGAGTTTCGAGCTTTAGCGGTAACATATATACCTTTAATGCACTTAATTGTGCGGATTCCGGATCTAGGACTTTTCTGACGTTCGTCGATTGTTCGTCGGTCGGTCGGTTAGGGAGGCGTTAAGTTCCTTTTCTCGGACGGCGGTCAAATCCAGGGAAATTGGAGGATATAAAAATCCGGAGTTCGAAGTTGTCAAACACCACAGAGTATGAAATCTTGTCTACGACACCTCTTGGGGGTTTCAGGGCACTTAATTGATACTCTCATGAACTCTCTCGACGACTCCTTGTCCTTGAGTCATTCCTTTTTATATCTTCAAATCACGTTATTTTTTCCAACCAATCAAGAATTTCTAATAGTAGTTCCCAGTGACACATCTGATGAGTTCCCTGGGAAAGAAAACGACTCCGGAGAGAGATGTGATCATTCTCCGATAATAAAAAAAAGGAAAAATTTTCGAAACACGAAAACTGAATTTTCTCTCAAAATTTGTTAGGTCCGGTTCCTCACATAATATGAATGATGCAATTCTTTGCATCTAACTTATACAATGCTGCTTCAACCGATTCTTAAGTTATTGTGTCAATTAACGCTGTATTTTGTAAAATGCGGTTAACTGTTTAGTCTATAATTTAGAAATTTCAGTTTTATTGAGAAAAAATTATTAAAAGAGTTATTTACGTAAACAAACATTATTGAGTTTTTATGACCTAATAAATACAAATTGCTGAATTATTCTTTGCCCTACCAGTGTGGACGTCACATGAAAACTTTTCATTTTAGTTCAAGAAAACTACTTTTTAGAAAAAATAAGTAAATATAAAAACGGAAACCTAGCATTAGTATCGCTGCGTAAATAAGAATTATTTTCATCAAAAATTACTATATATAGAGATAGAATTAGGAAATTTTTAAATGCGTATATAATTAATATCAAAATGTATGCAAATTACGATGAAGTTTTAAATAAAAATATGTGATAATTATTTGAAATTGTCCAATCAAGAGAGAGAGATAATAACGATACTTCGGTTTGCTGATAAAGTCGAACATGTATAATTGGTAGAATATATCTCACGACTCAATGCTTTATGGATGACAAAGCCATGAGATATGCTTGTTAATTTTGTATTCTAAACTGTTTAATACAGTTATATCTATAATGATTATAGTTAAATTTATTGAGAATTTCTTAATGATTGTGAAAATTTTACCAATATTAATAATTTAATATAATTTTCACTAAATACCATATTTAAATATGTTCTTGTTGTTATTATTATTCTTCTTGTATAAAGATAGAAACAATAACCTGTTAATTAACCTGTAAATCATTACTAATTCGGTTAATGATTTTATTTATTTATATAAATAAGGCTGAGATTATCGTTTGTTTGTTCAAGAAATTTTATTGAAATTTCGCAGTTTGTTATTTTCTAGAACAGTAGAATCCGTGTTGTACTGTACCTGAAAATATCCCGTAATTCTTATTTGGCCATTCATTTATTTTAAAGAAAAATTATGTAGTTGCGTGGAAAGTGTTTTATTATTTTGATATGGCATCCACGTGTATAAAAAGTTCTACATACATGTATTTTATTTACATACATTAAATAAACATCGTCGCTTTTGTCTATAATTTAAACTTTTCACAATAAACGAAAAAAAATGAACTGAAATTTAATGTAATAATTTCAGGTTTTCGTTGTAATTATTGGGATTTTGTTCAGTTTTGATGTTTTCGGCCTCATTAAGTAATTATAACTAAAAATATTACTTTTATTAATCATTGAGTATAAAGTAATTAATAATTAATAGCGTAATAATTGCTGGATTTATCATCTATAGTGTAATTAATACGGAATAATAATAGCGAATAACGAAAAGTATATAGGCCTACACCTATATAGACATGATGTTCAAGATTTTTACATTCTTAGACTCAGGACACCTTGAAATGTCGAGAAATGCCGAAAATTCGGAGTTTTTTTTTGTATGTATGTATGTATGTATGTATGTATGTGAAAGTGTAACGGACACTTTGTACTGTACATGTGATTGGTCGAGTTGCCAGTGGCGCGAAGCTATTGTTCGTGGGATTATAACTAAATGCCCCTAAGGCAGAAGACCCCTAACCGCGGAAACGGAAGTCGTTGCGGTAGTAATCCTGCGCGGTACGAGAGGAACCGCAGGGTCAGTTACTTTTTGGTTTGGTCTCTGGTTGTGAGGACGTCGAAGTGCGAGAAGCAAGAAGAACGAACGTATACTCCAGAATAGATTTGAACCTTGGGGTACGGACTCATCACTTTGAACTTGTACCTGGCTAAGATTCCCGTTAGCCGTAACAGAAAGGCACGATTTTGTTCACTCTATTAGAACCTTAATAACTCCCGTGCTTTTTGTCGAAGATTCCTGAAGTTATGCAGGAAGATTTGTTTATTGGTGCTGGTAAATTTCGGTGATTAAAGATCACCGGGTGAAGAGATAAAGGCGTCATGTTTCATATCTTAAGCGGGATCTTATAAACATATATAAATATTTTTCTCTATGATTATTTCGTTAAACGTTTCATCAATTTTCCGTTTTGTAGCAAAAATCTTGTATTTTTTTTAAAATGTGTTATATGAAAATTTCAGAAAATTCATGGACCTTATTCCGAAAATCATTTACACAAAATATATTTCAAATCTACTAACTTCAAAGATTCTACTCGCGACTATCAGAGTTTAAAAATAAAATGATCAAGATTAACATCAGACAAACAATTAATATTATTTTCTGTCTTGTAATATAATCGAAATGGGTTGATGATAATAATAAGTATTAAGCTCAAAGCCCAAACGATTAGGAGTTGAAAGTTGAAATTTGGTACACCGTTATACCCAGTTCGCACTGAGTATTTCAGTCTAGATTACGATCAAGGTCGGCACTATGCGTTGGTGCGACCTCTCTCGACCGTTTCAATCTCGACTAAAAGAGGTTCAATCCAAGGACAATATACTACTACTGTAGTTTAAAGTCCTTGGGTTCAATCGCAATCGACTCAAGAGAGTTCTTGAAATTAGATCCAGTCATTAGAGACTTCTCACAATCCCACACTCGCGAGAAAATACAAGATGGCTACGGAACACGTGTCGGACTGTCAATAGAGAAATAAAAAAAGACATCTGCAGAGACAGTGACATCTGTCTGTTATTAGATATATGGTAAGAAAAAGTATTTATTTCTGACAAAAACTTCCATTTTGTTTGTTTGTTGGTGTTCGTGACTTACTGCGTAGTTATGTCAGTTTTTATCATCGCGTATTACACGCGATGATAAAAACTGTAATAGCCGGGTTCTTCTCAAGCGGACTGCCTGTGCGAACAACTTGACGTTCGTCTGGCGAGACGGTTACAATCCAAATGTATTAGACTTACAATGTTATATGGGGCTGACACATGGGCAATAACATGAGCCCAAGAAAGAAAGATGAAGGTGGAGGAGAGGAGAGTTGAGATGGATGTGTAGAGTGTCAAGGAAGGATAGAATAAAGAACAATTTTATTAGAGGTTCTGTTAAGATGGACCCTTTGATCAGGAAGATGCAACAATGTAGTGTGAGGTGGTTTGGCCACGTAGAGCGAAGTAGTGAAGATTACATTGGAAAGAGGGTCGGAAAACTGTTAGTAAAAGGAAAGAAGAAAACAGGAAGGCCAAAGCTGCGATGAAAAGATAAGGTGGTGGAAGACTTAAGTCAGAGGGAACTGAAGAGAGAAGAGAAAACACGGAGATAAACAAGAAGGAAAACAAGTAAAAATTTTTTAATTAGCCCGGAAAAGGGGAGGGCCTAATTCTTGCACCCGATGAAAACGGGTAAGATCGGCTATATAACTATAAAGCTTAATCTACGTAAGAGTTTATCACACCGAATGTCCAATCTAACACATTTTAAAAATTCTATATTCCTCTACTGTACAAAATTTAAAAAATTGTTTAAATGTGTTAGATTGGTCACTCGGTCGGTGTGATAAACTCTTACGTAAGATAACCTGTGCAGTTATATAAATTAAATACAATAATATAGTATAATATAAGGATTAGAATACGAAATAATCTAACAACCTTAATCTTTGCTGTTGTTATTTTTTTGTTCGAGCAACTCTGGGCTCATCTGCTAATTTTCCATAATTTATTTTTGGCATTCTATCCACCGATCTCCTTCAGTAAGTAGTCGAATCCTAACGCGTCCGCGAGATCCAAATTTGAATCAAGTTTCACCACTACACGAACTGTAACAAAAACTTTATTATACATGGTCAGAGCAACCGTATCGAACATTTACATTTTTGAGCGATACAATGAATTTCGCGTGCTGTGAACGAGTGTTGCAGTCCGACTTTCGAATTTCTGGCCTCCACATATTTATTAACACAAAGGATTGCCGGTAAAGCAATTTCTATTTTATATATATATTACAATATCAAATGCATTAATATCAATTTTGCAGTGACAGCAATTAAAAATTACAAAAATATTACATATCTGAGTAATTCATAATTGCTGTCATTGAAATTTCTGGTTTACATATCTGGTCTCGTCTTTAATCTATCTAATTCCGTTCTCAAAATTAAGAAAAGACAGCAGAAACATAGGCAGCAGAAACGAAATTCTTCTGGAGCATGCTGAGTAAGACCAGAAAAGACAGGACAAGGAATGAAGAAATAAGGGATAGAACAGGAATGAAAAATATGAAGAAGATAGAACAAATTAGTATGAGATGGTTTGGACATACCAAGGGAATAGAAGACAATAGAATACCAAAGTTGGTATTGGAGAAGGACATGGAGGAGAGAAAACCTAGGAGAAGACCCTGTAATAGATGGATGGACAAGATAGCTGAAGACCTAAGAAAAAGGACAATGGTGTTTGTAGAGGAGTGGTGGAAAGATAGAAAGAGATGGAGGCCATTGGTCCATTGCCCATCCCAGGCTTCCTGGATTAAGAACGAAGAAGAAGAAGTCGTGTGTTTCTCAGTAGGCAAGTCTGTGACTCAGATAATATATCCAATATAAGCTTGCAAAATTTATAAATGCAAAGGGAAATATATATCTGGAAACTTTATCGTAAGGATTTACGTGCTTTGAATCAATCAGAGTGTTCTTTATATCCTTTATGTGCCACAACCATCTCCGAATCATTCCCGATTTCTTTTTCTTTGGATGGGAAGCTAACGAATAAACCTGAGTTTCTTTTTTCTGAAAAATAAATAAGAATTTAAATTAGAAATATAAAAAAATAATAGAAATATAAATTTTTATATCTAAACATTTTAATATAATGTATACAGAAAAAACTATCGATAGAATTATGTCATATACGTGGTAGTGTTTTACATATTTACAAATTTAGAAGTATTAGCATCTTTAATTATAAGAAATTTTTACGTAGTGAAGATGGATAGAACAAGTACTTGAAGTACGTATTATTATTATAGATTTTATTAAGAGAAAGAACTTTACTTATTGGACTGCGATTAATAGTTTACAGACCTATAAATTCCCACTAGCGTCAGTGTGTCTGCCCTTTCATTATCTCAAGAATAGAATTAGATAGTTGAAAGTCGAGAAGAGATATGAGAAGCTTAAGAGACAGAGGCATATTATGTCGTATTCTATAAATTTCCGGGTTATAGTGGCTCCCCTTCTATATTGTAATTGGATTTCTTTAACTTTAAGATGGATTTAAATTCTTGCGTGTTACTTCTATCGTGCAGCAGAATTACCAATGCTTTGCTTATCATAAATATGACGTCAAACTGGTCTTTTTCCTGCACGTTAGATGTTGCACGAAAGAACTTAAATCAACCTTCATAGAACGTCAGGATATTTCATCGGGTAGATTTATTTCCCACGTTGTTATATTGTAACATAATAGGAGAAAGTATTGTAATCTTGTATAATTTGATATACCGGGTCTTTTGAAAATATCGATGTTTTCAGACGCACTGAACTGAAAAAAGTAAGAAGAAAAAAGGAAATATTTTCAGGATATATGTGCGAGCTTCCTTGCGTTTATGGATGCATGTGTCTATTTCGACTGGCGGCTATTTACAAAACGATTCCGTAGCCGTAGTTTTAGTTTTTACCACGAGATGCCGCTAGTGTCATGACGTTTAGGTAGCGTATACCTTAGGTGTGCTTGGAATTTTCTTTTGTTGATATTTTAGCTTTAAAACCATACTTTATTATCGATAATTGGTACTGTATTCCTGCTACGTTGTTAAGAAATCGTTATGAGAATATTGCATTGAATGATATATCAGAAAATACTTGTTATTGCGATAGGCACTTCTCAAATGGAAATCTTACTATCAAGCATGTAAGGTTAGTGCATAAGCAAGTCCTGGTGGAGGAAAAGACTATATTCTGTCGTGAGACTTCATGTTCTAAAGGATTTTCTACTTTCCTTCGATTACCAGAACATTTGGAGAAATATAAACAATTATAACAGCTCATTCAGTAGTAAATGAAAATATTATGTATTTGACAGAATTCTACGAATGGAAAGCCACAGAGGAATTGAGAACCAACTAAAGATAACTGTGTCGTACTGTTTAAAAACTCATGGAATTTATAAATTCTACTCGTGCGGATCTGGCACATGGGATCATGATTATACTCAATTCAGAAATGTACGGTACCCACAAAAAGAAAACTTTCAATAACGGATTGTGTGTATAAAAATGTTGCAAATGTGTAATTTTCAATAAATCTTTTTTTATAAAGAAAATATCTTTCTTATGAATAGCTCTTTTTCTTGGCTAAAATTCAAATAAATCATTGCAGATCGGTTAAATGAGACTACAAAAAAGTTCACTAATATTTCACTGATGATGATAATTTGTTGATGGATTTTAACTACCAAATTCAAAAGACTACTGATTCTATTCTGTTCAGTAGCATTAGTATGAAAGAATAATAAAATTTTTGGATTTGTAATAATGTTAATTGATACCATCAAAATAATGTTAAAACGGAAATTAAAAACAATTGGACATTTTTAAAATTATTTTACATATACATATTTGTTTACTTTTCTATATCATATATAACCAGTTAAATATAAAAAGATTTTTTAAAGAGGTTTTTATATTAATTACTTGTAAATAGGTTTTATGATTGTATTATTATTATTTATAGAGATTGTTTAATCATATTACGGTTTACGCCAAGAAAGATAATTTTATATGATAAATACAAGTATTGTATGAATGTAACTCGGAAAAAAAGAAGTGTGTAAAGTTCTTAAAGGTATTAGTAATAATGTTTCCGTTGTGTTATTTGACATCTCTACGCATTTTAATTTTTAATTTGTAGTTTAGTAAACTCAAAATCTGTAATTATAATTCTGTAGTTGTAATTGTAGAGCACTGAAGAGGAACTGGAAAATGAAACCAGTTCGAAATGCATAAGAATTGAAAATACAATAAAAGAGTTTCTGGACCTGACTTGATGTAAGATAGTCTACCCAGAGAAATATTTTCGGATTAAAGAGACAACCATTCACATTAATTATAAAATAAAACATTGCAATTTTTTTTAATATAAAACGTTTAAATTACTTCTAAGAAACAATGAATAAGTTTATTAAATAATACAAAAGAAAACAAAAATTTCGAATAAGGGATTGAAAATTCAGCAGGAAAATCTTGAGAAAAAAGAATTTAAGGAAAAAAGTTTACATATTCTGTAGAATAACTTTTATAATATACTGTATAATTTTAAATATTTTGTTAAAAAATGAACAATGGTCATCTTTTAAAGCTACAATATAAGCATTGAATATTAGACAAAAGAAAAGTTTGCCGTTCAAGAAACGAACAGTAGCAAATTTTGTTTGTAATAAATTAACTCTGTGCCTTTTGTTTCACTTATATATTTTTTTAATTCGGCAATGATAAAACAAAATGACGATAAAATACCACCACGCCCCTATTCACTTTCGAACCATGGTTTATTAACACCGACTGCGTTCCATCACGTGATTCAGTGACGTCACAACCGACCGAAAAATACAATTATGCCTGTCTACTAGCTTCTTGACGTCACCAAGTAGCGACATCTTATGGTAAAAAATTGAACTACGGTTACGGAATCGTTCTGTAATTAGCCGCCAGTCTATTTTGTTTAATATCTCAGGATAGAGTAAAGATTAAGAAACGAAATTTGGCATGGTAACTCTATGTATAAGAATTACTAAAAAAATTGGGGTCTTTCTAGTTTGTCTTTTGTCGGTGCATTCGTGTAATCTGTTTTGTTTTTGTCTTCGGTTATTTCTTTCGCGCTGTTTGTTTAGCAGTTAGTTAGTCCTAAGATTCGTGCTCGCGTTCAGTTTCAATTTAGTTTTAACGATTTATAAGTACTTCTACTAACAGCCACTTAACACTAATACGTACTCTTAGCTTATGGCACTCAATTATTGGTGTTCGCTACATTCGGGTTTTCTTTTAGACCTTTCGGGGATCTATGTCCTTATAGCCTAAAACTGCACGCCAATATTAAACTTAGAGGGAGCAGAAAGCGTACGTACGCTGTTCAGAGGGATTCTATTTTTCTCTACTGTCACTCTCCTCTCCCTCCTTCTTCTTTCTTTTCCGCCCCATTTTTCCGTCAGCTAAACACTCTGTGCACGGCCGAAGTCTTTCGTTTAAGTGTGTATAAGAAATATTGATGGTATTAATGTTTACAATACGGAAATGAAGGAGGTGGGGAGAAAAAGGTGAATTACATCTGGAGTCGTCTTTTTGCGTGTGCGCGTACACACATTAATCTTTCTACACATTTATCTCTCTAATAACTGTTAAATTTCCGCCGGAAATGGGCTACATCGCTCGACGTGTTTTTAAGAATGCCGTTCGTTTCCTCTGATGATTTTCATACCCATTATAGACGTCTTGATAGAAGAAGTGAAGGGTTACCCTTTTGTTTAACAGGAAATTTACGTCATACTTTTCTAAATCTTCAAATAAGTGATGAAACTTTCCCATAAATGATATAGATAAAACTAAAATTAGAACAAAAAACTATAGTCATCTCCATTTTTAAGACATTGATATAAAATTTAAACAAAAATGTACAAACAGCGATGTATTTAAAACCCACGCATGCTCCCCTATATATACCATCTTGGTCCAACGATTCATATAAATACAAGTTATCAGCTTTATAATTTATTTTTTATACTAGTACTTTCTATATATTAACAGGACTTATTATAATTCACCTGTGAACTAAATAAAGAACATTATTTTTGAACTGTAAGACTAAATATCTGCATCCATAATTTCCCAGTATAATAAGTCCTGTTAATATATAGAAAGTACTAGTATACAAAATAAATTATAAATAGATAAAAAAAAGGACAAAAAGGCATAACAATTACAAGTTATCAGCATTTAAGGTGCTTATTAGAAGAGCGTTTTTATACTGCACTAACATTCAGGACTGTATTAAGGAGATTAGTGGAATTAAAAGAATCGCAACAAATCTAGGATACAAAACCGCGCACAATAGAAGGCCTGGTCAAAGATTACAGACAACATAAAGGCAAATATAAAAACGCAAGAATAGTATATAAAAGAGCACCCAACATCTATAACTTAATAAAGAATGATAAAGACAACGTAAAAATGTAAGAGAAAGCTGGAGTTTATAAAATACCATTTGAGAATCAAGAATTAGGAATAGTAAAGGATAATGTAGGTGTAACCAGAAACTTAGCAATACGAGAACACAGATACAACGTTAATAAAGGACACAACAACACTATTTTAGCAATCATGGCGCAGACAGAAGGAGCGAATGTAAAATGGGATGAGGCAAAAATCATTAAAACAATTCCATCCATTGCATTAGAAATGGAAAAAATGGAAATATATAAAAGTAAAATGAAAAACCGTTGCCTAAATGCTAAGCATGCTAATACGCTTCCAACAGCATGGAAGTACCGGCACATGATAGAAAAAGCATGGGAATTAAAAACGTTTAAAGCTTGTAGTTGCATAAATAAATAGCATAAATAAATAACAAGGTAACAAGGCTAAGTATAATACTTAGCCTTGTTACCGTGTTATTTATTTATGCTATTTAATTTATTTTATTTACTGTTATTTATTTATTTATTGTATTGGTTTATTTTTTCATTTATTTAATACTAGTAACCCGGGCCGCTCCCTAGTGAAAATTCATATCAATGGGAAATGTTTTTCCCTTCCCGTGGGGGAATTCCCCCGAGGGAGAGGAGAATTTATTTCCTCCGTGGGAGAGGGTAATTTATTCCCCCCCACGGGAAAGGAGTTCTAGCAGCAGCGGTGTCATTCCGAATTATAAATAATAAATTCATATTACAAATAATAATAATTTATTGTTATTTTAAAATCATCGCTAGTGCGCCCTAGTGGGCGTCCTAAGCATACCGTTACAGATATACTGACACGCGATCAATGGCTTATATTATTAGATATATAATTATTGTAAAAATATTTTAAATTTAAAATGAAACGTATTCGAAAAACGTTGAGTTTTATTTTGGAACCGTAATCATAAGCCTGAAGACGACCTATAATAAGTAGGCTGANAAGAGTAAAAATTACATAATTATTGTAAAAATATTTTAAATTTAAAATGAAACGTATTCGAAAAACGTTGAGTTTTATTTTGGAACCGTAATCATAAGCCTGAAGACGACCTATAATAAGTAGGCTGAAAACGTTTGAGAATAAAATAATTTATGCTTGGCAAAAAATTCAGGTGTGTTGTTATAATTGGCCAAATTGAATGCTATGCTACTCCGAAACTGAAAATGAGTCTGGTTGTCTGACGCATCACTTAGGATCAGAATTTTTTAAAGGATTGTTGCAATGTTTTATTGAGCAACCTCGGTTTAAACCTCGGAACAACGGTTAGAGTTATGAACGTTACAATATATGATATGCTTGATATGCTATGATGTACATTAATGGGATACAGTACGTCCTATATTCTGTAGCAGGGGTTTTAAGTTACTTTTTCCCCCACCTGTGCTTCCAATTCGTTAAAGTGCTAATGCTGCACATCGGAAACTTTTAAAAATATTAGATTCGTAAATTTTATACAAATAAATTGATTTGATTCTTTACTTTCTCTGTTTATTTATGAATTAGAATAATTTCTTACAGTAAATACTTTGCTAGGCACAACTAATATTATCTTATTACGCTACTTGAAATACACAACAGATTCTCGTAAATCTGAGTATCAAACCTTATTTACTATCATTTATTTCAGATAATAAAATGATTTGAACGTACAGTACCTCTTTCATTTTGATGGCGTATTGGTAAGCTAGAGCATATTCCAGTAAAGATAAAAATATCAGAACGATGCAGAATATAAACCAAATATCCAGAGCCTTCAAATAGTCGACAGGAGGCACGAAGCTTCTGGACTGGACCAAATGAGTGACTAAAGTCAGGATTGAAGTCACACCCAAAGTAATGCGTGCGGGTGTTGCGTGAACATCGATCCAAAATGAGAGCCATGACAGCATGACCACTAATGTACTAGGGATGTAGATATTCATCAGGTTACCGGTCAACCGTCGTTTAAATTGAAATTCGGCAATTAATGTAGTGTAGTTACCTGAAATAAATGTAGAGGAATTCATGATAGCAGTCGAACATTGGCAAAGGTTGTATGTTATATGCTTAGTTTGTCGAGAAGAGGATATTCAAGTAACACATACCGGTCAGCCATCGTTGAGTCACCTTCTTAGCTTTAATTTCACCCATTTCGTATGTTAATAAATTCATATGTCTGACGTGTATGCTTTTACCAACTTTTTTGTAAGGACTATTTTTTTCTCCCATCCATTTCGGCAGGATTTCTTTATCTGAATGTCTACCTAAAATATACATATAAATTTATATACAAATACAGAACATTATGTAGTTACTAATCAATTTACTTTCTGAGTGTAAAGTTCGATGAAACTAATCATGTGCAAGAATGAAAGTTATTCATAAATTATAAAATTGGTTAATTCCATAACTTTTAAACTGGTTTGCATTGATGGAGTGAGATAAAAGTCCGTGTTTCCAAGTTTCCTGGTGAAGCCGGTAAAGTTATACAACTCGTTACTGGATTTTTTTTAGTTTTATAATTGGAATCAATAATTACGAATTTTCGGAAGTTCAAAATTAGTGAAATATTTATTTTTCACTATAGCTTGAAAAGTATTAAATGAATTAATTCAAATACGTAAACATCTCTTTATTATTCAAAAGTAATAATGAATGACTTACTTATACCTAGTAAAAACCGACAAATCTGAATATCAGCTGGATAATCATGCAGGTTCATTGGACAGTCAACTAAAAAATTCATTCTGAAAATAAAAATATTAAATTTATAAATTTATTATAAATTATAAATATTATAAATAAAGTGTTCATGTGTGATTTGTTCTCAACAGCAACCTTATGCTAAGAAAATACAGAAAATATTATAGTTTTAATTAATAAATGTTATAATTAAAATTGTTAACTACTGTATTTTTGACATGTGTGACGCAACTTTTGTCCAAAATATAGGCTCAATAAATTGTCCTTCCTGTTACATGTGAATTAGAGATCTCCTATCGTTCGTGCATTCGTCAGTTAATTCTTGCTAAACGAAGTCGATATTTCCTACGGCATCCATGGTATTATATTTTTACCAAAATTGCACCAAACAAACATAGATTTAAGTGAAGTACAGCGCTACGAGGAATTACCGCCTTTTGCTGATTGGTTCGTGTTCGTAAATAATCATATTATATACGAATCAGTGAAATTCCGCGATAATTTGAATCAGCGAAAATCTTGAGCTTTTTTTAGGTTTCGAGCTGACCACGATATATCGAATCAGCGTTAAGCAGGGTCTTACTGTATTATTATTTACTATAGCCAGAGCCGGCCCGACCATAGGGCGAACGGAGCAGCCGCTCCAGGCGCTAAGTCCTAGGGGGCACCTCAGTGGTAAAGAAAATTAAAGGAAAAAATATTTTTTTCACTTTTCGATATTTTAATTGCAAGAGCGTGGCCAGCATGTGAATGACCTTATCTTTTGAGACGCGCATGGGTCGAGTGCGTGGGCGGGGTTCCATAATAGGATCTCGCTCCATCCTAAAACTTGCCTCGGGCCAGCACTGACAGGGTTTGTATACACTGATATAGAATAATGTAGCTAACAGGGATATAGCTAACAGGGTTTGTATACATTGATGTAGAATAATGTAACAACAGCTTTAATTACAAAATTCTTACTTTTAGAAAAATTTCTTTTATCTCTGATAAATAAAAGTACAGATTTTAATTTTACTTTTTTCAAATCATAATACTATTTTAAAAAATTTTAAATTAAAAAAGGAGAGAGGCGACTTAAATACACTAAATGATTTTTCCTAAATACCCGGGCTAAAACGGGAATGCGTCTTACATCGCTTACAATACAGTAATTAACATTTTGTATACTACTTCTTAAATACCTGATACCCCCAAACAGAGATTCGTCCGGAAGAACTTTTACATAAGTAATTTTCGAAGAGCCATAAAACGTTTGAATCATTTTGGTATTAGGAAATCCAAATTTTGGTTTCCAGAGATTGTTCACTAAATTACTAGGAAACATAACAGAACCTTTGGTAACAAACTTTTTCAAATTCAATCTCGGATCCTTCCACACTGCAACAATTCCCAAAATCAGACGGAAATCCTGAAAAAGTTATAAATATATTGATTACTTTAAGCGACATTTCTGAAGTTAAAGTGAAAGTGAGAGGTTTGAAAAGCTTGAAATTACCAAAGTGTACTAATGTAGTTTATTATTTTCATATTGTTTACTTGGACCAACATAATACTGATGTATTTTCTGATTAGCAAAGAGAGAGGTAGTCTTAGTCAAGAAGTAAAACAAAATAGCTTTATTTTCCGCTTATAAACAAGATCCAAGTAGATTGTATAAAAACAAAAAAGATAAAAATAGATTAAATAGATGCTTGTTAAAAATAGATTATTTTTAACAAGCATATTCTCTTTCGTGAAATATTTTCGCTGAATGCAGCAACGAAGAAATAAAAAATAAAACTTTTCCTTCTTAATTTTCGTTAAGAAATTATATTATTCATAATAAAGCAGAATTTATTTAAAGATTAATACAGGATGTTTATAATGTCCCTGTTCTTCTTTAGAGAAATAAATATAACGCTGTTACATAATTTAATTAAATTATGTAACAGCGTTATATTTATTTCTCTAAAGAAGAACAGGGACATTATAAACATCCTGTTACATCATTTCAACTCATGCTCGCTGTTACATAATTAAATTAAATTATGTAACAGCGTTATATTTATTTCTCTAAAGAAGAACAGGGACATTATAAACATCCTGTTACATCATTTCAACTCATGCTCGCTGTTACATAATTAAATTAAATTATGTAACAGCGTTATATTTATTTCTCTAAAGAAGAACAGGGACATTATAAACATCCTGTTACATCATTTCAACTCATGCTCGCTGTTACATAATTAAATTAAATTATGTAACAGCGAGCATGAGTTAACATTTTGTACTGATGTTCCAATACTTTTTCGCCTACAACGTGAAGAAATCAGGTTATTTTGAATTTATTGATGAATTCGCGTATTACTTTGTTTGTAGGACCAGTTTATAAAATTATATTTTAGACTTTTTTCTAATTTCAAAGCATTTCATTGTTTAAAATGTAGTAGTGTTACTTCATAGTATTTCATTGTGATCTTTCTGGCTGATCTTCTTAGAGTTCTGCATTAAAACGAATAAAATTCATGTTTTCACTGATATTATACACTTCACTAATGCCCTGCACTGTACATATGGATTTATATTATATTTTAATATTTAACTATCTAACCTATACCATAGTAAAGTTCAAATCGTGCCGTCCGATTTCCGGATTGTCAAAAAAAAAAATCTTACGACTTCTTGAACACAATTTAAGTCTATTTATTTAATACTATTTACAGAGATATACAGCAATCCATCTTGATTGCTACTAACTAATTTAATTTTAATTAAAAGTATCTGAAATTGCTTGAGCAGTTCCCAAAGATTTTCTTGTACTTGAAATACATACATGTATTTGATTAACTTTATACGCACGGTATATGTCTCTTCTTATCACTGCCAATTACAATTGTTCAGTGATCGATTGATAACTCTCTATTGAACACTAGTAGTTATTCCCCGATACACTTCTCCGACTAATACAACGGCATAATAGAATGGCTGTATTGCATTTTTTTAGTTTACTTCACATATTTAATAACGAAACAACGGCCGGTTTAGCAAAGAGAAAAAAATCTCTCCTAGAGCCACCCCTATTTCTTGTGTTGCGTTGCTTTATTTCATGCATGCATTGTATATATAAAAAAAATTCAAAATTTATATTATAATATTTATATATATACGTATATGTGTAATGCGTGTATTTACTCTATATGATGTGTAAATAAGCTTTCTCTCTATATATAGAAGATATATAAATTATAATGCGTCAACATTCTAAGAAATAAAGTAAAAATTTTATGGATATTGTTTCTAATAGAAATATTGGAAACACGAAAACGCTTGTTCAATAATTATCACGTGCAAATATTTAACACATAAAAACGAGAAACTAAATATTCAATATCATAATGGAAAATGGGTACAGTATATGTAAACATGATACTCCCAAAGTGAATATACCGGATGAGTTTCTTTTCATTTGACATTGTTAACTAATATAAACTGATTGGTCAACATTAGTTAACAATTTATCACGTCATAATAAGTAATGTTCATATGACAAATATCTTTAATTTGCTATTGCTTTTAAAGTTGTATCTGTAAAACTCGAATGTATATCATTGTCACCTCGTCACAATTCAAGGCTGCAGTTTTTAATTAAGTTTTAATTTAAATAATTAAGTAACACCCGGCTTGCACCGGAAATTTGTGTATAGCTAATTGGAACCTCCAGAAGCTAATCTTTCCATATGTGGTCTCGATTTTAGTAGTGTCTTGTCCCTGTACTGTACATCATACTTTTCCTGGCAACAATAGAGTTTTCCGGACTTCTACCTAACTCCATTCTCGAGATTAACGAAGGACAATCACATAGACATGCGACAGTGGGAATGTACAGGTTTACAATCTGAAAAGTGCAGCACAACAAATTATCCAAATATGAAACAAAGTAATTTTATCCACGGTTAAAATTGGAAATGTATGAAATAGGTGTTTTAAAATAGCTTCTACTTTATTCTAATTATATTAAAAATCGTAACAGCTATGAAACTAAATAAACAGCACATTTTATTTTTTCAGTTTGATTATCAATTATTCTAAGTATTGTTATACATTTCGATCACGTCTAGAAAGTTTAAGTCGTGAGCAAAATGTGGTTGCGTGAAGCTTTCTAAACCGTTTAAACGAATGCATAAAATAATATTTGCTTGAAAAAATACAGTATAATTAAATATATAACCAATTCTTATTGCTATAAGTTTGTTTCACTTAATGAGAGAAAACAATAATTTTGTTGGATAAAGTAGTGATTAAGTTTTCAGAACTAAATGGTATGTACAGTAAGTACATAGGACAGCCACTTGTATGAAATTTCACATTATTCCATAATTATTATATTGAAAATCAAACGAAATTATAAAACTTATACATTTATTAACGATTTTTATATAATTTTAAAAGATGATTATAAAGTCTCCATCCATTTTTATTTAAAAAATGGTGAAAAAAAATCATTTGTATACAGGTCGTATGAAACATGGCGATCCAAGAATAGAGAATCGTTGTTGTTTGCACATGTTTTAGTGGATTAACGTACACGGAAATACAAACTTCACCCAGAAAATTAGAAAGTCTGCTCCTATCAGGGCTAACATCAGACTGTTGGTTTCTAAATTCAAGGATTCGTGTAAAGTATACGATGCATAACGTTCCGGGAAACCCAATATGCCAGACAAAACGGTGCAAGATATAGAAACTGCAGCATGCAGGAAGAAGAAAGAGACTGTGCAATCCGCGAAGTAATGTGTCACGATCTCTTGAAAGCTATAGAAGAGAAAGATTTGATGGTACATTTGTGTATGTTAGTCCACCCAAACATGCACAAATCATATTGATTACATCTTCTTGAATCGGCGTATTTCACACGACTTGCAACATATAATTTTGTTACATTTTCACAAAAATGTAACGAGACTTTATAATCACCATTTATTTTAATTAATAACCTTTTGACTTACCATAGTCGCTTCGTTTATTTTATCAATTCCCAGTATTTGACACGAAACGTAAACAGATGCCGGTAAATCTGTAGGAAAAAATTATTTAATTCTAAATAATGTAATGCATTAAGTCTTAAGTCTACGCTCAGAAGGATCTGGGATCGAATACGGACAGGATTTTTATAGGGGGTAATCCATCTGCGATTTGTCGTTCCTCATCTCTTTCCGCGGATAAAGTAGGAAAAGTCCTCGGTGAAGGAAGGATTGAGGGATAAAAATACATATATTATCTAATAATAATTATCTTTATTTTTTATAAAATAAAATATTTTTATAACATCGATAAATATCTTTATATAGTTTTTTTTTATTTCGTTATAAACTTATTCCTAGTATTAAAATTTTTAAAAAGACAATTAATGTCTCTGTTACTGTGTATTTCTACATTTTTCAAGAGAAGTTTTTTAATATAAAGTAGAATTGTAAGTTTTTAAATTATATAAACGTATTAAAAATTAATTTAATTTAAATACTTTAAAACTGATTAAGATTAGTATAAATAAGTTTACAATAAAAAACACGATAAATAAATTCGTGTTTAAGTGATGTTTAAATTCATTAAATATATGAATTAAATCATAATGTGCAATTAATATCGAAGTGTCTCTTAATTATTGTTAATTTATTGTAATTATATACATTTTAATTAATTTCTAATATTTAAAAACGAAATTCTTGGTTTAACTTACTGTTAACCATTGGTGGAACGTCACGATTGTAATCCGCAGGAATGATTTCAATATCTTTTGTTGCACTTAAAAAACAAAAGAGAAAACTGTAAATATTCTGACATCATCGCAATGCAAAGCTATGGTCCTAATTATATATTAATTAAAAAGTAAATATTACTTTTGACGCGGAATCTGAAAGTGCGATTGCTCTTTCTTTACGATTACTTAATTATTCACATGACTTTTATCACAGGTAATGTAATATCACGTGAATAGTGTATACCTGAGAGGGTGAAGTGACATTATTTATTTCATTTTATTGTATTGATAAAAATTTTGAATGAAATCGTGCGACTTCTGGTTCAGACCGAAAGTTCGTATATAGTTATTCGGGTCTCCCTTCCCTATGATTTCTATATGCAGTCTTGATTTTCATCTATCTAATTCCATTATCGAGATTAACAAAGGACGGACGGATAGACATACAGACGACAGTGGAAACGTATAGATTTGTAATTTGAAAATCGGAGCCCAATAAATGAACGAGCAAAAATTATTGTGACATCCTAACAATGCTGGGCTGCAATGTTTGATTATATTTTTAAATAATTTAATTCTTTTTTGTCATTTCGACCCTCCAGCCGACTGGTGAAGGTGGCAGCCTACTGCTCTAGAGACGCAGGATCGAATTCGAAACTAGGTCAAAAAAC